GAGGAACAGTTGTTATTTATGTGTTTTAAGGTCTGAGGAACAGTTCTTATTTATGTGTTTTAAGGCTGAGGAACAGTTTTATTTATGTGTTTTAAAATTGAGGAACAGTTGTTATTTATGTGTTTTAAGGCTGAGGGGTGGTCGTTATATTACAAAAGCGCTACCGTGAAACTCCATTTTGTATTAAATCAAATCAAGATAAAATACACTTGCATGATGTAGTTAATAGTGGAAGATGGGTGCTCAGTTATCATTGAACTATCTATGATAGATAGAGGTTTTGTCTTGTAATAATAGTCTAAGAACATTTCTACTATGATCAGTGTTGAATGCATGGGGTGTAGAGGGGGAATACCCCTGAGATATTTTAACCATTTTGTCTTTTTAATTAAAGTACAGTATTTTCCATTTTGTCGAATTTTAATTGCCCCCCCCCTCCAGCTTCACATTTCCTCCCCCCTCCCAGTGGGAAGGTCTGGATTTAACACTGACTAGGTTGCTAAGTTTAACATAATTTCAACGGTTCTTTTAGGGGTTGGCTAACATGGTAGGTTTGGGGTTGTTATTTGATCTTCCTTGCTGGCTGTCTTGTCCTTCATCTGCGTTATTTGATAGACGGAATATCCCCAAGCTCATTGTGTGTTACAAGCGCGACAGTGGATTGCTTTAACTTTTAAGGATTTGTTTTGTAAAACATTATTAGTATTTGTCGGTGACGATAGTTTTAGTTGTTGAATTTCCCTTTCAAGATCTTGGTTTTGCTCTGTCTGTCTGTCTGTCTCTCTCTCTATATATATACGTAATATAAGGATGTGTTAAGATATGAAAATATATGTTCCTCTGTCTACCTTCCTCTGAAGCTATGATGTTTTAATGGCGTGACCTAAGTGACGTACATAGGGAGGTGGCTGGGTGGGCTCAAGTCTTTGCCCTCCTGCCTTTATGCCCCAAAAGTACCCTTGTTTCTCTGTCATAAAAAATGTCAACAACTACGAAAAGATTCGTCTCATTCTACGTATTAGGAAAAAAAAACTGATTTCATTTTTTTTAAAGAAATGGAAATGGAATGTAGAGTAATAATAAAAATTATTAATGTACCGTTTAGTTTTAATTATAAAACTGTTTACAAGACCAATTGAATAGGAAAAACAAAACAAACAAGGGATCTGTTTGCTTCTTATGGATTTTTACCCTATGTGTACTACAGACGATCCATAGTCTCCCCTGGCCTCCCCTCCCCCGAAAAAAAGCTTGCCTTTCAGTGCTTGAAAAGTGGACTTTTTTGTTAACTTAATAAGCCCCTGACCTTTTAACGTCCTCTTTACATTATTGAATCTAGAATATTCGATTTTTTTCTTCTCAATAGACGATCCTCAACTCCATGCACAAGTACCAACCCAGATTTCATCTTGTACGGGCAAACGACATTCTCAAGCTGCCGTACAGTACGTTCCGAACTTACGTATTTAAAGAGACTCAGTTTATTGCTGTGACCGCCTATCAGAATGAGAAGGTAAGCCAACTTTATTTTTACATGGACATATTTGGTACTGACCTTTTTTTCTATTTTGGTATTTTTGAAATGTATTACGTTCTCGCTACAATGTGTCTGAATTACTTGCTCAACACATTTGTTTTTGTACTGAGCCGGTTTTGCCTATAATTTCCAACAACCGAAATCACCGTGGCAGGCCCAGAGCAAGCAATAAATACGGAATCCGCCGGTAGCTGAGACCATCCCAGCGACGGTAAACTTGACGCTTTTTTTAATATGTATTTTCTCATTATTTCGTTAACTACGACTCTAAAGCAAAGCTTCAGTTATTTCTAATTCTAAGCTTCAATAATTCCGTTGATTATTTATACGACAATTCATATACTTGGGAAGAACCGCCTGGTAGAGATGTTGTTGTTGTTGTTCAGGAATGAAACATGATAAAATGTACAAATGTTGTTGTTCACAATGAAACATGATGAAATGTACCTGAACAACAACAACATTTTCTTCCTATACATAGCTGTTAGATATTATTTGGTTGATCAGAAACTACACTAGCATGCAGTGCTAACGTCCCTCTCAGGTTCGACGGAAACGTCTTGTATTGAAGAGCTGATTTGGCGCCACAACGTGCGCGCCGGAGACATACACCCTTGTTAACGGAGTTATGATAAGCACCAAGAGAGATGGCTATTGTTATCTGCAAAATGTCTTCAAATTTAAAAACAAAAAAATGAGAAAAACATTTTGTCTGAAACTAACGCAACGACCACGTTTAGTTTTCTAGCAGTAACTAGTTAATGTCCGTCTCTTTTTTTAAATCATATCTTGTGGCACAAAAACAGTTGTATTCTGTTTTAACTAATCGTTGTAAAATTGTGTTTATGATCTGCTTTTATGCAATTAGAACAACTCAAGTTTTGATATACATATCACTGATACTAATTTGTAAACTTTTGAACATATACACTTATAACTGGATAAACAGATAGAGAAGAGAACTCGCAAAGATTACGTCACTTACTGATTTCATTTTCTTTGAATATATGTAATAAATAAACATTAATAAACGGCAAGTCTAAAGATTTACAATGCTAAAATCAGGGGTTCGATTCCCCTCGGCAGACACAGCAGATAGCCTGATGTGGCTTTGCTAGGAGAAAAACACACACAAAAAGCACTCCTTATAATTTATTAGCACGTCCACTACCAAACAACAACAGCATTTGTACATTTCATCATGACTCGTTGCTGAACAACAACAACATTTGTACATTTCATCATGACTCGTTGCTGAACAACAACAACATTTGTACATTTCATCATGTTTCGTTGCTGAACAACAACATTTGTACATTTCATTCCAAATAATATCTAACAGTTATATATAGGAAGACCAAATAATATCTAACAGCTATGTATAGGAAGACCAAATAATATCTAACAGCTATGTATAGGAAAACTAAACAATATCTAACAGCTATGTATAGGAAGACCAAATAATATCTAACAGCTATGTATAGGAAGACAAAACAATATCTTACAGCTATGTATAGGAAGACTAAACAATATCTAACAGCTATGTATAGGAAGACCAAACAATATCTAACAGCTATGTATAGGAAAACCAAACAATATCTTACAGCTATGTATAGAAAGACCAAATAATATCTTACAGCTATGTATAGGAAGACCAAACATTATCTAACAGCTATGTATAGGAAGACCAAATAATATCTTACAGCTATGTATAGGAAGACCAAACATTATCTAACAGCTATGTATAGGAAGACCAAATAATATCTAACAGCTATGTATAGGAAGACCAAATAATATCTAACAGCTATGTATAGGAAGACCTAAATAATATATAACAGCTATGTATAGGAAGACCAAATAATATCTAACAGCTATGTATAGGAAGACCAAACAATATCTAACAGCTATGTATAGGAAGACCAAATAATATCTAACAGCTATGTATAGGAAGACCAAATAATATCTAACAGCTATGTATAGGAAGACCAAAT